ATAATAGAATAGCTACGGATTTCAATGCCGTAGCAAGTTTTCGTAGCTATTTAGGATTTTTCTTGTAGTGGATGTTGTTTCTTACAAATTTCAGATGAGTGATATAGCAATGTGAGTTTACCATAAAGTATTTTGGTCGTATTACAGTAAATTCTTGTCTATTAGCTAACAAGATATTGGCTAACCTCACAGAATCACGATCTAATGTAACATTATTCAGTTTGAAACTTAAATTCTATATTCTATATTTTTTCTCATCGACTCTATTTTTATCATCAAAAAGCTCAACTTTCATTTTCTCCACATCACTACTCATAGAAATCAACAAATGATTCAAGTAAGTACAAGCATCAACACTATAAGATAAAATAGAATCAAAAGAACTTGAAGAAATATTAAGTGAGATTAGGAGATTACGTACCTTCTCAGCAATTGGAGACTTTGAAGTGGTTGCCATATTGCCATAAAACACGTTCATTGAACATTCCCTCCTTCATCTTCACTCACATCGTCGCTCTCTGACATCTCAACTTCGCTACCTGACCCAAATCTTTCTTTCTCAAACTCTTCCTCTTCATACTCACCAACAACATTTCTAGCATGCATAGAAAATATAGCTCCATGGGTAGGATGTCGCATCTCTTCGTCATCCGATCTAGATGACCAGATTTGATACATTCCTTCCTTTTTATCCATTCGAAACTTGTGAAAGATTCTTTGATTTTGCCCCAAATTCTTCGATCTTCATGGCATAGTAAGCTTCGTCCTTCACCTTCTCTTGCTTCTACTCTTTCTTCTTAAACATACAATCTCTTGCTAAATGGTTCTTACCATTGCAATAATTGAAGTCATATCCAAATTCACCAACCAACTTCTTGTCAACCTTCTTCTCTTCTTCATTTCCATCTTTCTTTTTCTCGACAACAAGATTAGATGTCAAAGCTGCCTTCTTAAACGTATTACTTTTGAAGTTTCCCTTGATAGGCTTCTTGTAAAACGTTTTGACATTATTATTGGAATAGTAAGCAAAAACCTCATCATCATAATTTATAATTAATCCTTCATCATTGTCATCATCTTGCTTCACTGATGTTGGTTTTGGAAATAAGAGCTAATGGACCACCAAAATTAGTTTTGTCATTGTCATCTGCAATTTCTTTCACCTCTGCTTCATGTGCTTTGAAGATGTTATAGAGATTTGATAAAGAGTATGAATCAAAGTTCTCTTGAGTTTTGATCATAAGACAAATGTTCTTCCACTCCTTCTTTAATCCTTAAATGAATGTAATGATGAATTCCGAAACTGAACGAACAACCTTATATCTTGAACATGTGTAAATCAAATCGTTGAATCGATCACAGTAGGCTTCGATTGACTCCGTCTCTTTCTGCTTGCATTCCGATAATTCAGACAAACATTGGGTCATAGAACTTTTCTTCGTTCGTTCATTGCCTTGAAACTCCTTCATTGTGTTCCATATTTCTTGAGCAATCTTACAACCCCTAACATAGTTGTAAACAACTGGATACAAATCACCTCTTAGTTCACGGAGACATCTCTTGTCATTCGCTTCTTTCTTCAATCGTGTTGTAGTCACAAGTTCATTCAGAGCAGTTGTACCAACAACTTCAACTACAACCGCACGAAATGGACCATCTTTGATTGGACGCCATAGATCTTCGTCGATTCCATTTAGGTAATATTTCATTCGATCAACCCACTGATCATAATATTTCAGAAGCAACATTGGGGTTTTGTGGATGAACTGAGAAGATTTTCAAATTCATCATCGTGTTAGCATACAAGTTGGCTATCGATTGAATCAAAAAAAATTAAAAGCTTGAGTAGAAATGAAATCAGATTCAACCGAATGATTCTTGATCGCATAATCGATAAATCTCAAATATTGTTCGAAGAACAATGTTTTTCAAATGCGAAAAATGTTGAATTCAAAAGGGATGAATCAACAAAATGGAAACAAGAAAGAAATTCCTCAAACGGTTTGACGATTCCTACTCTGATACTACCTGATTAATCAAGAATTCAATCGAGTATTGATTTCGTAAAGTAAATGAACATAAGAGTAAATAAATTTGGATTCGCTCTATTAAGTCTAGAAGGCAACACATGTTACATTGTAAAATGATAGAGAGTATAAAGCTTCTTTCTATAACATATGCTACAATACTATTTATAGTGCTATCAACAGACTCAAAATATACTAGGAGACTTCGACATTAAGTAAACATAATACAAATGCTCATAGAAATACATAAATATATCGAAGTTACGTAAACATCGATATAGAAAACATGAATACGTTCAACATTAAGCTTATAAGACTTCACTATTGAATATCTTCAAAACATTTGATATTCTACAGATTCCAACCCCTAGTTAGGTGAAAGTTGCACTTTGCAATAACTATCTTGTAAAATGCATAATTAATTCCATTAATTCTAATTGGCATGAGGCCAAAGGTTGTAGTTAAATATGGGTGTTTAATTTACCATATATTTCCATAAATAAATGACTCTCATTCCTTATGAGGTGAAAGTTGTGATCTTTCCTGCTCCAGAACATATAGACTAGTTTTGGTAATTAACTTGTAACTTTATATGAGAATGTAGAAAATTTGTTTGAGCGTGTACTTTATTTCTAGGGAAAGATAAGAGAGTATTATATAATAATAATTAATCAAGTCTTTGTTGTCAAGAAAAGAATAGGCTTTTAAGTTATTATTTTCAAGGGAATGCAGCTTTGACAGGTCTGTTGGAAATTTCGCTATAAATATGGATGTTTTACCATGGTTTGTTCTTAGTAACATTCTTTATGTCTTGAAGATTATTACAGAACATTATGTTATGAGAGGGATTATGGGATCGTTCCTTGCATCCTCTTGTTCCGGGACAACAATAGTAGGGGATAGTTATCTTTAACAATTATTGCATGTCTTCGTTGTATTGCTTTCACAATTTTGTTTTTTTGTTTTTTTTTTTTTTTTTTTTTTTTTTTCAAACATTAAGTGGTATTATAGCAAGCTTTTATACCATTCTTTATAGATTCGAGGTGTCAAGAAGACATTTCAACCATTTCACAATATTGTGATTCTACTTTTATCCTAAATCAACCTTCTACGAAAACGGTAATCCTCCCATGTCTATGCAAACCAAATAGCAATTGTTATTTGATTCTAACACAAACCCTAAAACTAAATTATCATCTCTCAAACAACCTAAAAGGTTATAAGTTATAACTGGTTAGTCTGAAGAGGTGTATGGATAGGGAAAAAAGAGGGTGCTTATTGCTTATTGATTATTCCTACCATAATAAGCTAAGTTTAAATGTTTGGATAAGAATCCTTAAAAATCAGATTATTGTGGTAGGAATAAGCTAAATAAACTGATTTTTATAAGTATCCTCCCCCTTGCTTATTACTTATTCCCACCACAAACACTTTTGTAAAAACCACTTATTCCCACCACTACAAGAAATTAGAGTATTACCGGCGACGTCCGTCGCCGCTAAAGGGTCACTGCTGTTGGTTCGTCGCTAATGCTCCACTGGTAGCCGCTATTGCCTTCTGTCGCCGTTAAAGGCGCGTCGCTGCTAATACTATCTGTCGCCACTAAAGGTGTCGTCGCTATTTGTATGTATTTGTATACATACAAATACACATACATACATAATACACATACAAAATACACATATACATACAAAAACACATACACATACAAAATTACGTACATATACATATAAATGATCATACAAAAACACATATACATACATAAAATACACTCAAGATATACATGTACATACAAATGCAAATACAAATACATATCCACATCTACAAACACAAAATACAAATACAAATACACATCTAAAATATCAAAATTATCAAAATTTCATCATGAACATTGGTGGTGGCGGTATACTCCGGCGAGAATGGTGGGGGGTCTCAAAATTCCGACAACCAACACAAATTTAGTAGGGAGAAGAGAAAAGGAAAAGAAAAATGGGAAAAATGGAGAGGAAGAGGGGTGAAATAGCGAAGATTTCGGTGAAATTCCGATGAGGTCGAAGGTGGTGAGTAGAGAGAAGAGAGAAGAAGGGAAAACACAGAAGTAGATCAGGGAAGAAAGTGAAGACGAAGCAGATTTTATTGTCGACGCTCTTTAGCGGCGACGGGCAGCCTTTAGCGGCGACACATCGGAAGGAAAACAATACGGGGTTTTCTACATCGTTGGATCATCGCTTAAATCGACGGATGGGGTTGAAATGACGCGGATCGCCAGAACAGGCAATAGCGGCGACGAGTAGCGTTTAGCGGCGACACACCGGAGGGAAAATAACGCGGGGTTTTCTACGTCCTCCTAGTCGTTGGATCATCGCCTAAATCGACGGTTAGGGTTGAAATGACACGGATCGCCAACATAATCCTTTAGCGGCGACGAACACTTTTAGCGGCGACAAAAACGCGTTTGTTTGATGTCGCCGCTAAAAGTGTCCGTGACTGCTAAAAGTGTCGCCGCTATTGCCTATTATTCTTGTAGTGCACTGCAATAAGCTAATAAAGTATAAGCAAATTTATCTAAACACCCTCTGAATTCAAAGGCAAACGGACCGAATAGTATTAATTTAACTTAACAAAATTTTAATATTATGTTTAATTATATCTTTTAGAAATTATTTTAATAAAAAAAATCCCTGATTTTAAGATAACTTTGCTCATAAAAGTCATTTATACATAAAATAATGTGTCATGAATATGCGATTGAACATTGTAAGAATTTACTGTCAATAGATAGCGAATTTATAAATATTTTTTAAGATGGAAAGTTCCAAAATGAACAGCCCTGAGGTATTAACAATGATTCTTTACAATGAAAGACAAGCAGAAAAAAACCTATTTCCTATTCTGGCATTTAATTACTCTAATCTTTACACCACACCCTATATAAAAATACAGTTTTTTTTTTTAATACATTTTATGGCTGCTCAAGGAGATATGTTTATTCCTTTCCTTTTCCCAGATCTCTTTCCTTCACTATAATCTAGTTTCTATAATCATTTTTCCGGTTTTGCATCAAAACTAGGAAAGAAAGATAGCGACATCCATACTTTTGATTAACTGCAACTGGTAGCGAGAAGAATATGGGGCGAGCACCTTGCTGTGACAAAGACAATGTAAAGAAAGGTCCATGGGCTCCTGAAGAAGATGCTAAGCTTAAAGCATATATTGAAGAACATGGCACTGGTGGTAACTGGATTGCTTTGCCTCAGAAAATCGGTAACTTATGTTCATGTCAATGATAACACTTACTTTTATTGGTATTTTGTTTATTTTCTCATGATCAAGATTAGAAAGTCTGACAAATAATTTGACTGTAAATTTCCTATTGTTGGTTTACTTATGAGGAACTCTATGTAACCATGTTAATCACTTGTCGATGAACCTATAACTAGGGCTCAAAAGATGTGGGAAGAGTTGTCGCCTCCGGTGGTTAAATTACCTCCGGCCAAATATCAAGCATGGAGGTTTCTCAGAAGAAGAGGATCGCATAATTTGTAGCCTCTATGTTAGCATAGGGAGCAGGTAATTAGTTAAGCGCTTATTAGAAGAAACAGCTTGTAGGTTTTAATTTGGAAAAACTTCATATTTTTTCCGTACGTTTTGAATTCATAACATTATTTTTTTTTTTTTTGCACGAGCAGGTGGTCTATAATTGCAGCACAATTGCCCGGACGAACTGATAATGATATAAAGAACTACTGGAATACAAAGCTGAAGAAGCAACTCTTGGGTAAGCAGCGAAAGGAACAAATATATCGTAGAAAGGGAGAGTTACTAATGAAGAAAGGAAGGGCGCCATCACATATTCCATCATCCATAGTTGTTAGAAGCAACGACACCAACAATTCCCAAGATCCTTATTGGCCAGAGTTGCCGGTGATGCCGCCTGTGCCCTACTCTAATCAACAACCGTGCTTTGTCGATGATCATGCTTCCATACGGAAACTACTTGTCAAGCTTGGAGGAAGATTTTCTTCTGATGATAATGGAAGTCAATCCACCAACATGGTCTCTGACTTTCCCATCGACACTTCAACTGATCTTCAGACATCATCACAAGACAATCAGAACTTAATTGCAAGTGGTTCTCCTGTTTCGTCTTCTTCAATGTTGCTAAACAGCCAATACAATATCTTGCCTATACTGCAGGGGCAAAATGTTACTTTCCCATCCGTGTTTGAGGAGATGTGTTATAGTACCAACCCACAAAAAGTGAATGGGTTGGAGTTTCTATACGGTGAATTGTGTGATTTAAATGCAAGCGGAAGCAGCAGCGTTGTTACATGTGGACATAGCATGGATTGGGGCGAGATGAGTTCCTTAATTAGTGGTACGGCTACTAGTAATGCTTTGAACTCATGCGATTATCAAAGATCACTTATTCCGCAAGGGGTGTTACTTCAAGATTGCTCTTATGATGAAGAATTTAACAACCGAGTTCAATAACAGACATGCAGAATCTGTGATAAAAACCCTAGCTTTATGATTCTTTGATGGCAAATGCTTAAGTTTAAATTGGTATTTCTATAGTTTCCAAACCGTTTTGGAGAGAATTGCTTCAAACATAATGTGTTTATGACTATCTAAGTGTATCTGTGTGTGTGTGTTTATATTGTTTGTGACAGTGGTAAATTAAATTTATCTTAACTTTCCTATGGTGTACATTTTCTTTTTTGTTTGTAGAAGTTAAGGGAATCTAATAAGAACAGGAGCTTTGAAAGGAATATTTAGTGGAAAAAGATAACTTCAACACAAAGTGAAGACAGAATATTGGGATGTGTGAATTCATCCTGTACCCCTGCCCCTGGAAAAGGTATACCATACATATTTAATTGATTTATATATTAACTCAGATGCATGTCGGTCACACCATACCTTTAATGACTTCTAGGAACCCTAAAAAAGATTCCATTCATATTTGGCAATAAGTGTATGGGAGTTGTAGCATATATGGTATTCCCATTGATCAATTAGGATTATTACCAATGCAATGTCAATTTTGTTTCAACAGGTAACATCTATCTGCCTACCTTAAAAATAAATAATGCATGTAATTACTGAGTTGTATTTGAAGACGCCGTTGTATATGCGCAATGTTGTATTGCTGGTGTTTCCTTGTATTAGAATCAAGCTTTGACTCTATCCAATCAAGAACATTTGCAATCCCTTAGCTTAAAAAAACATGACTTTCCTTCCAAAGAAAATTATTATACATATATTTATATTAAGACTGTAAGTAATAGATAAGATTAACAACTCCCTTATGATCACAAATCCAAATTATTACATGTTTACATGTTTCATACAAACAATCGTATACATGCAACTCATTTCATCGTAGATGAACCCTCAAAATTGATAAATGAAGCGAAGGACGATGAAAACGTGCATCTTTCATTAACTTGCCAAGTAAAGAAGAACAATACATCTATGCAAAGCTTAGCCTGCGCCTCTCTTGATCCCTAACATACATGACAAATTACTAAGTAAAATAACTAACTTCTAACAATCAACTACCATTAAAACATCAGCAAAATTAAATATAACAGTGAGACAGACACAAAGGAATAAAAATATGGCAGACGCAAAGGGATAAAAATATGATATAACGGTGACACAACACAAAGGGATAAAAATATGAACTTGCATGCTTTTGATATATCTCTTAAAATTTCCATAATACCTTGGGAAGGTGTTTTTTGCAAAAATGGGGTTGTTCCCATTAAGCAGACTACTTTTGTAATTTTTTTAAACATATGTGAAAAAAGAATATGCACATGGATCTTTTCTGTAAATTATATGGATTGATTTTGTAATTTATTTTCTATACATAGACCAAACTTACCAACATACAAAACTTTTAAACACATGAACATTTTCTGTAAAAAATAAATTTTTACATGAAACTTTTCTGTAAAAAAAATTACATATGAACCTATTTTGTAAATTACAGGATCGTTTTCATAATTTATTTTCTATGTAGGGACCAACCTTCACTTTTGTAAATTTGTTAGATGGAAGGGGCATTTATGTGATTTTTTTAACATATGCACCATTCTTGTAAATATAATGTTGCATAAGGACCTATTATGTAAATTACAGAAACGTTCTTACAATTCATTTTCTATCTAGGTATGAAAGATGTTAAACCTGCAAAAATGCCAATATAAGAATGGTAATGTAACGTCCCCGATTTTTTCATGATAAAATTTTCATTTTTATTAGCAGTATTTTACTTAAATTGGAGTATAATTAAATAATGTGGAAAACATAATGCATGTGTATAGTCGAGCATTTGTCTCCTCACGATCCAAAGAAGTACCTTAAATCATTTGTAATCAAGTGGGTAAGCATGAAGCTTAATAAGTTCCGCAAAATACCATATATCACAATACATATACATGCATACAAATAATGGCTCACGACCTTTCGCAAATCCACAAATTGGCTCATGACCTGTCGTAGATCTACCAATAATATGTGTATTTAGACGTATGACCTACTTGTCATTTCGTCATCAACACGGGTCTATAGGCTCCCAGCCTGTTGTCGCTTCTCCGTCAACCCCTCTATTAGGAACTAAAGTGGATAACAAACAAAATCAAAAGCATACAAGACACAGTATTTACATGGTTCGGTGAAGGTGACCTACGTCCTATTGGATCTATATGCTCAAGAATCATTATTTAGTGATATTGTTATGGTCACACCTTAATCAAGTTGGTACTTATTGAATATTTATTGAGTATTTGATTATTAATAAATAAATTCAACTCTTATATTTTATTAGATAAAATTATTGTTTTATAAAAATAATAATAATAATGAAGAAAAATTAGTTATTACATCATATGATATGATTAATAAGTTATGTACAAATCTTTTGGGCAATTTGGTAAATCATGCCTTAACTAATTAATTGGCTTACTTAGTTAAACAAACTAGCCTAACTTTTGTTCTTTTCTTTTAACCATTTGGCCATAACGTTTAAGAGAGTATGGAGGTTGTTTCTCAACTTCCATGTTTTCTATCCCATTCCTCCCTTTTTAAGTATTACTTTATATTAAAATAAGGTGTAGCCTTTTAGCATGCATGGGATATATAAGAAAGTGTTATGTTTGAAAGTTGCTAGGTTTCTGGTCTTGTATTTCTCCACATAGCTTCCTCTCCATCTCTCACTCTCTACTTTTTGAAGTTAGTTGTCTAGATTTGGTGCTTCCTTTCTTTCTTCCTTTAGTGTTTTTTTTTGTTAAGCACTTAAAGGCTTAAAGAACAAAGTATACAAGAAGGAAACTAACATTTCTTTATACCTTACTCTTGGTGGTGGATACGTGTAGAGAAGATCATACTCTTTGATCTTTCCATCTTCATTAACACTAGTTGACCCAACACCAAACAAAATGGCACAACTATTCATCAAGTTGCTCTATTCCACTCCCAAGAGCTCCAAACCTCTTCCAGGTGCTCCATACCCCCTTTTTGACGATCCGTTCCTTTGGCCCTTGATCCGCTCCTTTATCAGATGATTTGTTCCTTTGTTACATGCTCCATGAACCCCAGAGCTCCATTGAGTTCTAAGTGCTCCTTTGAACTCAAATTCTCGGTGAGAATGCTGCAAATACTGGAGTCACATTTAACCATCTTCAGCTTCACTTGAGCATCCTCTGAACTCCACCTCAAACATTAACTTCTTCTCCCTTCCTGCCATCAAGCCCCAAATGGGCTTTACCTCCTAAAAACATCAACCAAGTCCAAGCAAAGCTTGAACTTCTCTAAGAGAAATGACCTTGTCACTATGTCTTCCTGATTCTCCTTGGCACCACACTTTTGAATGCATAACCTTTCATAGAACATGATAGGTTTCTCCACCTTCAAAAGAAAACTTTGAACGAGACCAATCAGATATTCTTGTATCCAGATCACTTTCATGGTCTGAATCTATAAATCCAACTAAGTACGTATGTCGTGCATTGGTACCATACACCATACAGACATTAAGTGTTCCTTTCAAGTGTAGCAAGATCCACTTGACCACTTCCAAATGAGATTTCCCCTGATTGTCTCGAACTGCCAAAGAAGTATCAACACGTTTGGACTAATCACGATATAACGAAGACAAGAATTTGTCAATGTTGTGAGAAATGTATAACCATCATGCTCTTCTATCACTCCGAATCTCCATCCTTGTTATCTTCTTTTTAGCTCCTAAATCGTTCATCACAAGCTTATTCTCCAAACGTTTCATCAGTTTGTCTTTCTAGCATCAACATCACTAGACACTTCTTCCATGGGTTGTTCAAGGATTCCTCACGTCTATGTTGTTCCATGCTACCTTGCTGTTTCTTATTTATCACAAAACTGTGTGGGGTTTCTTGAAGGGTTTTGAGCATTCTAACACTCCTAAGGTGTACATGCAACCCTAGAAACCTTGGATATATGTTTTCTCTAAGATACATGCAAATGATAAATTTCCAAGGTTTACATCCTAACTAGCATGGCATGGGTAACGTGAATCATAAAATGCTAGAAGAATTACATACCTTTTAGTAGTGGTTGATTCCTTAGAGTTTGAGAGCCTAACACTAATAATGTGGATGCCTCAAATGGAAGTCACAAATCACCACAAACTTTGGAAAACTATGAGAGAGTATGTATGCACTCTAGAAATCGGCCACCTTGCTCACACACACACTAGTCCCAAATCAAGTGCCAATGACTCCTTTATATAGTGTGGTGGATTAGGGTTACATTCCATGTAAACCCTAATACCCATGACTCTTCCTTTCCAAGGATCCATGGGTTAAAAGCTCCATGGACTATACATGGACTCCCATACAAGCCTAGCCCATTCCAAATGAGTATTAGCCCACACTATATAAATACAAGAGCCCATATTTAATTATTCACCTTTTTGATCAATAAATTAATTCTAAATTAATTTAATATCAATACTAATTAAATAATATGATTTCATATTAATATATTATAACTTATAATATATTAATAAATCAGAAACATACAATTCTCAAAGGATTATCCATACAAATAGTTCTGGTGAAGTGCAACCCGAATGGACCATGCCGGGTCGGGTCAAGTATATACCAAATAAAGTTATGGACTTAGACACCTTATCCAACAGTCTCCCACTTGGATAAGTCTAATAACTAGATTTGCCTATATGACTTCAGGAGCCAACCGACAATCGTAGCTCTTAAAACTCTGTTGAACTATGAAGCGCCATTTCAGATAAGTGATCATATAATCCTTTGTTCTCAAGATATCAGTCGGACAAATACATGGAACAATGTCGTACTTATTGTCCAACAGTTTGTTTCCCGATTTCCGATTTGTTTGACATAAAACTAAATTAAACACATCAATTAGGTTCTGATCGGGCCCAATACATAGGTCAAAACAAAATTATCGAGGGGCCCAGACATCGCTTTTAATCCTCCAAGGACTAAAAGGAACAAATAAACTTTGACTCATATGCTTGTTCTACTACTTGTTGAATCATAC